CCTGGGTAACAAGAGCGAAACTCCGTCTCAAAAAAAAAAAAAAAATTTTATTATAAAAACAAATAATAGTACATAATAGTTGTATGCATTTATGGGGTACCTGTGATATTTTGATACAGGCATATGGTGTGTGATGATAGAATCAGGGTAACCAGGGCTTCCTTCATCCCAAGCATTTGTCATTTCTTTGTGTTAGGAACATTCCAATTCCACACTCAGTTATTTTAAAATATGCCGTAAGTTACTGTTAACAATAGCCATCCTGTTCTGCTACTAAATACTAGATTGTATTCATTTTATTTAACTGTTTAACTGTAACTTTGTACCCATTAACCATCTCTTCTTGTCCTCGACTCCCCCCACTATCCTTTCCAACCTCTGGTAACCGTCATTTTACTCTCTATTTCCATGAGTTCATCAGTTAAAATTTTAAACTCCTGTATATGAATGAGAGCATGTGAGATTTGTCTTCCTGTGCTGGCTTATTTCACTTAACATAATGTCCTCCAGTTCCATCCATGTTGTTGCAAATAACAAGATCTCTTTCTTTTTTTTTTTTTTTTTTTGAGACCGAGTCTCACTCTGTTGCTCAGGCTGGAGTGCGGCTGTGCGATCTCTGCTCACTGCAAGCTAGGTTCAAGCAATTCTCGTGTCTCAGCCCTCTGAGTAGCCGGGATTACAGGCGCATGCCACCATGCATGGCTAAGTTTTGTATTTTTAGTACAGACGGTTTCGTCATGTTGGCCAGGCTGGCCTCAAACTCCTGACCTCAAGTGATCCACCTGCCTCGGCCTCCCAAAGTGCTGGGATTACAGGCGTGAGTCGCCGCACCAGCTAATCTCATTCTTTTCTATGGCGGAATAATTCTCCGTTGTTTGTATGTACGGCATTTCCTTTATCCATTCATCTGTTGACAGACACTTAGGTCGATTCCATATCTTGGCTGTTATGAGTAGTGCTGCAGTAAACATGGGAAAGCAGGTGTCTCTTGGATATACTGACTTCCTTTTTTTCAAATATGTATACCCAGTGCTGGGATTGCTGGATCCACAGTAGTTCTAGTTTTCGTTTTCTCAGAAACCTTCATATTATTGTTGATAGTGATTGTACTGATTTACAATCCCACCAACAGTGTAGGGGGGTTCCCTTTTCTCCATATGCTCACCAGCATTCTTTATTGACTTTCTATAGGATAAAAGCCATTTTAACTTGGGTGAGACGATACTTTCTTGTAGTTTTAATCTGCATTTCTCTGCTGATTAGTGATATTGAGCATTTTTTGGATACACTTGCTGGCCATGTGTCTGTCTTCTTTGAGAAATGTCTATTAGATCTTTTGCCCAGTTTTTAATCGGGTTATTTGCTCTTTTGTTATTGAT